ATATATATATATATATATATATATATATATATATAAGTCGAGTTTTGTACTTGAGAACTTGAAGTGACCAGAACCCCCCGAGCAGATGTATCGGTTGGCTGAGACAGCGTGACATACCTTTACCCCGACCATAATTTGTCTTTTAAGAAACTCTTCAGGCTACAGAAAGCGTAGTCTTCCGGGTGACGTATGAGGCTGTTGGTACAAGGCAAAAAAAAATGCATAACAGATAATTATTTTGTTGATACTAAAGAATAGGAGGGCAATTTTTTTTATCTGCATTATCTTTTCAAATTTAAATCAATAAATTTGCATTTAAAACGCGCACAAAAAAACTAAAGCAGCAACAAAAATATTGTTCTCTCTACAACTGCTCATCACCCATCACCCAACTGCTTCCCCATTCCCTTCCTCTCTCCAAACAATTCTTCATCCATCCAAAATAGTCCCATTCTAAAAAGTCCTGAGAGTCTTCTTTATCCTGCAAACTTCCTCAGTAACAGTAAGTGCGCAATGTCAAATTTTTTCTGAGCTACTAGAACGGTTTAGCTTTTCACGTTGCCAAATAATAAATGTAGAAAAAAACTTGTCTACACGACACTCATTAAGGAAAAACAGTTTTGCAAAAATGGCTAGACTAGAGCGCTACTACTAAGTGGAATAAAGTACACTGGTAAAACTAAGGAGGTGAACTAGCGGTACTAATATAAGCGTCAGCAACAACAGATTATTGAATGAAATAATCTTGAGATACTGAAAATATCATAAAATCCTTAGTAAAACTAAATTTTTTTTTTGTATAACCAAGCGTATATTTTTCGTCTTATTATCAGGAGACTGAAAAGAACGTGATTAGTGTTCCGAAAAAACGATACTATAAACTTCAAAATGCATAAGCAATTCCACATCGCAGCTGATATTACTTCGGGTAACACTCTCAAATAGAAAAGGCTTTTTTTATTTTGCAAAAAATCTCTAATCAAAGGTTTAGATTTGAGTCCAAAGAAAGAAAAAAAAGACTCCCAAACTTTAGAAGTGAATATATAAACATAAAAATATAAGAAAAACTTTCATCATTCTTTTAAAGCGGAATTAATAAAAAGAAAACAGAACAAAAAAA